AATCACATGAAGCAAGCATACAAAACACATTTATTTCTCATCCTCCTTAGGAGGGACACACACACATGCATGTACAGATGTGCACTTGGGCACACACACACCCCTTTTGAAAAGTAGTATTCTTAAAATTACACTAGCAATTACAAACTGTCCACAAGTCCTAACCAAGTCACCTCACTGAACATCAAACTAACAAGATCCTAGAGAGAGACCTTTAAAATCACTAGGCCTATCCCTTCTTTTTATGGAGGAGACACTAAAGCCCAAAGTTTAACAGACTTACACAAGGTCAGTGTTAACTGGTATTAGTCATAACCCATTCTTGCACAATGAAGATGAGTTTTTGGACTCTATATGATAGGATGGAGAGGGTACAGGGCAAAAAGATTGGTGGCAATGGTAAAAAGTTAAGCACTAAAATCAACCTAACATCCCTTTCCCTACCACCATTCTGCCTGATAATAAATCAACTATAAACACATATTTCAATATAGCCCTTTCTCAGCAATGCAAGGATCTAAGACATCTCCAAGGGTCTCATGATGGAAAATGCTACCCACATCCAAGAAAAGAACTATGGAGTTTGAATGCAGATCGAAGCATACTATTTGCCGTTTTTTTTAACTTTTGTTTTGTGTCCTCTTTCTTGTGGTTCCCTCTATTGGTTCTGATTCTTCCTTACAACATCACTAATGTGAAAATATGTTTAATAGGAATGTATATGTATAGCCTACATCTGATTGCACACCATCTTGGGGAGGGAGGTAGGGAGCGAGGGGCAGAAAAATTTTAAACTCAAAAGTTTATAGAAGTGATTGTCAATAAATCAAAATAAATTAATAAAAAAAAAGATTGGGATAACAGACTTGTCTGTCTTTTCTCTTTCCATACCTTCCCTGTCCTGTTCCTTTTACCTCACAAGTAAGCAACTCCTGACCCATTCTCCAGTTCTGGAGACTATGTTAAATGGGGAGATGGCTCAAAACTTGCAGCAGTGACACTTCTACCATCACCATCTACCCTTTGTAATTAGGGCATACAGGTACACACGGTGGGTAGTTGGCTGCATACTGACATACAAGAAATGGGATCACAGATCCAGCCACAATGACCTCATTCCTCTTCTTCACACAGTATACTCCATCTCCATTCTGTCTTTGCACTGCTTACATGTCCCAAGACTAGAACACTCTCACTCCTCACCATTGCCTCTAGGAATCCCAGATTTCTTTCAAGACTCAGTTCAAGCTCCTTCTGCATGTGGCCTTTCCTGATCTTGCCACCTGCTATGCTGCCTTCTCCTCTACGGTTACCTTTTATCTGCTTGCTATGTTTTGTATACACCTACATATATGTGCATGTTATCGCTCCCATTTGATGTAAGTTCCTTTAAATGAAAGGAATGTTTTACTTTTGTCTTTGTATTCCCAACACCTGGCACAATGTCCGGCAAGTAAATGACAGGCACTTAAAACGTTTGTTGATTGACTGGATTCACATACCTAGAGTGGAAAGGACTTTTCCACTTATCCCCCTCATTTAATAGATGAGGAAACTTGAGCCTAAGGTTAATTGATTACAAAATTAATTAACAAAAGAAACACAAGGTGGTAAGCAGTGGAGCTGGATTTGAACCCAGATCCTTGGATTTCACAGCCAGTCTACTTCATAGGCCATTCATAAAGCAAGAATGAGGGCAAACATGACCCTAGTGCCCACAGGATAATGAAGGCTTCCCAGATGTTAGGTGGATCCTCTGTGGAGGATTCATAGGGGAAAACAGGTGAGAATCAAACAGGATAAGATATGAACGGTGTTCTGTATCAATGAAGTGATCCATTTAAGGATATCACCCCAGTACCTGCCACATGCCATTGCACAAAGGAATTTTAGAGATCCAAGTCCAACCTTCATTTTACAAAAGGGAAGGAAGGGTGGGAAATGAAATTGAAAGTGCAACATTAAAATCAATGCAAAGTGATTTGATAGGTTTTGCATTTCTAAACTTCTCAATGGATGGGAGAGGCAGAGAATTTGGAACTAAAAATAAAATAAAATTGATTTTTTTTAAAGGAGGAAAAAAAATCAATGCAAAGTAAAGGAGAATCTCCTATCCATCTCCTTCACTAAGACTGCTCTGTAATGACCATCTCCCCACTTCAGACACATCCTCTTGAACAATTTTCTGACATAATGTATCTTTTCTGTGTGACAATTGAATAATGGATTTTAGGAGAAGCATGAGCCAAACCCTTTATATTCATTTTCAATTTTTTAAAAACTGTTTGAATGAGACCAAAACTCTAATTTTTTGGATAATGAACTTCTGTCTTGCCTGCAACACTTAATAGCTATTTATCATCACTGAATCTTTCATTCCATTTACAGCCTGCACTAGTTCAGTGATACACTCCTCAAATCTACTCATCTGTATGCAACCATCTACAATCACATGCAAAAGTTCACTAAGTGTTGGTTCAAATTTATAGTATGTAATATCTACATTAAAAGAAAATCACTACCTTTAAAAACAGAAAAAAGATTATAATTCAAAAGTCAAGATGGAATGGGACCACAATATTGTTAATACTTTTTCCCAATAAAAAATATACTAATTCCTCAGATAACGAACATAAATAGACACTCTTATTTTTCCCTACCACTCCTATTGGTGACAATATTTCCATACTCAACCTAGAGATACTACTGAAACTAAAATAGAGTTAAATATGAAGGAAAGTGCCTGACCTATTCAATGTTGTTCAGAAGATTCAATCCTAGATTTTCTAACACTCAAAACAAGTGAAACCCTCTTAGGTCATTCCTGCTGTTCCATGACCAGTAAGTGTTTTTGCCTATATGTGTCTCTCTCCTCAGCTACTCTGTTCTACCTCTCTCCAATGCTCCAGCCTGGGTTAAGAAAGCACAGTATGGGTAATTGCAAATGGAAGAACTATAGGTTCTTATTTGCTGAAATTAATGAAGGACTGTATTAGAAGAGCAGCCTAATAGATAAGAAATAAGGATTCTACGGATTAAATGAAATAGTTTAATCAATGAAGAGTATTTACCTATTAACTATAAAGAAAGGAAAATTCCAAGAGACAGTAAGATGAGACCTGAGAAGATAGGAGAATCTCTCCAGAACCAGGATATGGATGATAGGGCTTTTGTCAATACCAATAAAATTGGACAAATTGAAGATAGGAAGGGGGGAGTGTGTGTTAGGATTTGGAGGTCTCTTTTTGTTAAGGATTTAGATAGAGGTCTCCTTTTTCCCTTTAGGTACTGGGAGAAGGGTTACTACCACACTAAGCCCCTTAAGGTCAGAGTGTGGTGTGGCTGTGTGTTTATATGTGGGAAAGCGGGAGAAAGGGAAACAGTGTACAGACTATGAAATGAATTGAAAAAATCCAGGGATAAGGCAACACAACGTTGGTTGGATCTCTTGGGTGGTTGTCTCTTGGGTAGAATAAAAGGAACTGGGAAAATCTGTAGAAAATAGGGTCTGACTGGGTAGGATTCAGTGGAGAGATGTGAGCCAGGTTTGCTTACTCAAGGGCAAGCTAGTTATTCTAGGCTGAAGGGAGTTAGTATGCCAGCCTTTAAGGAAAAAAGACTCTTGCTGGGTAAGTTCCCATCAGATAATTAAGAAGCAATGCAAGCTAGCGCCCCTTTGCAGGGTCAGTGGAGTAAAGGATAGGGAGGGGACAGACAATACAAGGTGGCTCCTGGAGGTAGGAGGGAGGGAAGAAGAAGGTGGGGGAGGGGGCAGCGATGGGTGAAAAGTGCAGAAAGTCCCCTTGCAGGGCTTGAGGAAGAGGAGGCAGGTAGTGCAGTGAAGAAAACGCTCTTGGAGAGGGAACACAATAGGCAGTAATGAAGGCTAGGGGCACAGAAGGCAGTGGAAAAGTCTCCACTGCAGGAGCTGGGGGGGGTCAGGGATACAGTGGAGAAAGCTCCACACTGCAGGGGTTAGGGGGTGGGGGGTGGGCAGGCAGTGGAGGAAAAGGGACCGTGGAGAAGACTCCATACTTAAGGGGTTGAGGGTGGGGGCGGGGAAGAAGACAGGCAGTGGAGACGGGAGGGCAGTCGACAAGGCTTTACACTGCAGGGGTTGCAGAGAACAGGCAGCGGAGAAGGCTCCACACTGGGGCTGGGAGGAATAAGGCAGGCAATGGAGAAAGTGAGGGACCGTGAAGAAAGCTCTACCGCAGGAGCTGGAGGAGGGGCCGGCAGTGAAGAAGGCTCCACTGCACAGGCTGGGGGAGAAGGTCAGCAGTGGAGTAGGTGGGGTAATAGAGAAGGTTCCACCGCAGTGGCTAAAAGGGAGACCAGTGGAGAAGGCGGAGGATGGAAAAGGCTTCACCGCAGAGGTTGGGGGCAAGTAGTAGATAAATGAGGGGAGTGAGGTAGTCCCCCTTGAAGGGGCTGGAGGGCGCTGTGGAGAAGGCTCCACTGCTGGGGGGGAATAGAAAGGGTGGCAGTACCTTCATCGCAGGAGCTGGGGGCGGGGGGCAGTGGAGAAAGCTCCCCTGCAGGGACTGGGGGGGACAATGGAGAAGGCTCCCCTGCAGAAGCTGGGGGTGGGGGCGGTGGAGAAGGCTCTAAGGTGTAGGGGGAAAGGGGGAGCTAGGTAAGTGTTGTAAAGGCCTGGGTAGAAATCCAGGGAGGCAAATTCGGGGGTTTCGAGGAGTGAGGGGGCATCTGGGAAGGAGGTTTGTCCCCAGGGGAAGAACGTACGAAGGAAGCCCGCTTGGGGCGCCCGGTGACTGACTGAGCGGCAGGAGCGAGAAGGGATGGGGGGCCGCCCCCCCCAACCCCGTCAGGTGGAGGAGGAGGAGGCGGAGGCAGCAGCGGAGCCCGCGGAGGCGGGAGGGAGCGAGCAGCATAAACACACACATACCAGCGCAGGCGGCCGAGGGCGAGGCCGGGGCCGGACTTAAGAACGGACAGACACGGGAAGGACGGAATGAACGGCGGGGCGGCCGGTCGGTTACCTGTCTCCTGTGGCCGCGGTGGGAAATAGACGAGGCGGACAGCGGGCGAAGGCGGCTCCGCGGACACCCGGCCCCCGGCCGAGGCCAGCAGGGGAGCCCCCGGGCGCGGCGGCGGGACGGCGGCGGGACGGCAGCGGGACGGCGGCGGGGGCTGCGCGGGGCTCGGCCGCTTGCTCGGTCCGTCGGTCAGTCTGTATGAGCGCGCGCCCGGCGCTGAGGGGAGGAGCGGAGGGGGAGGGGAGGAGCAGCAGCAGCAGGAGCAGCACTGGAGGCGACGACGCGGCTCCCGAGGCTGCGGCCGGCGCGCGGGGACAACGCCGCTTTATCGGGTCGGAAACAGCCGCTCCGCGCCGCTTCCGCTGACGCAGCGCCAGCCCCTGCGCCTCCTCATGACTATGCAGCAGCCGCCGCAGGCCGCACAAGGGAGGGGGGCGCGAAGACGGGGCGGAGCCTCGGGTTGACGGTCCCGCCCCCATAGCGCAGGCTCCGCCCCAATCCCGGCTCTGTCTCGCCCATTGGCTCCGCAGCCCAGAGATGCCCCACCCCCTGCGCCCCTAGCCAGATCTGTGAAGACAGCAAGCCCCGCCCCTGTCCCCCTCCTTTTTAGCCTGTTCCCCCAATTTCTCTCTCTCCTCCCCTTCCCCCCCCACACACAGACACACACACACACACAGACACACACACACACACAGACACACACCTGAGGGAAGGCTAGCTCCACCCCTACTATGTTCCTTCCCTTCCTTACTCATACACCCCTTGATCCCTTGATCCCATCTTAGGAAAGGAGGGCTAGCTCCGCCCCCGAGCGTGCAAGACAACCCCCCCCAACAACTGAGCAAGAACAAGCTCCTTGCACCCCTTGAGTGTCCTTATCTTCTCCTCCCCTCTCCCCTTCCCACAGAAGGAGGGCAAGCGCCCCTCCCTGAAGGTATCCCCCTTCCATAAATAGGACCCCCGCCCCTATTGTGCCATAAGCAGTCCACCTCCCAACCTAGGTTGGGCAAGCCCTGCCTTCCCCGTCTGGGACTCCAGCAGTACCACACAAAGCCCTTCTTCCAGATGAGGATAAATAATCCCCCAAGGCCTTGGTCTCCAAACCCTCCTGCTCCCTCTGTCCTTGGCAGGCAACCCACCTCTTGCTACATCTGCAGGCATAAGGAGGCTGGCTTTTTCTGTGCAGCTCTCTTCGAGGATGGAAGGAAGCATGAAAGCGCCCCTCCTCTTCCACCCTTTATCGGGGCTAAGAGTATATACATCTCTATTAGACTAAGCGTGATATATTTGCGTTGATACAAATAAGCAGTCCAATTCAGGTAAGCGTACTGAACTCTGAGTCAAGGTGACCTGGGGTTGATAAGTAACTTGCCTACTTTGAGATCTGGGGCAAATCACTCAATCTCTTTTGGGGTTAGTTTCCTCACCAGTAAAACGGGGACGATTGGAGGCTGTCCTGCCTACATCAAAGAGTGTGAAATTCAAATAAGGTTATGTATTTGAAAAGTTGTATTTTTTAAAAAATGTAAGGCATCAGACAGGAGTGTCTCATTAGATCATCACCAAGGTGCCTTCTAAGATATTCCTTCTACATTATTCAATGCACTATATTATTTAATGTCCTAGTTCATAAGTTCATAGGTTTAGAGAGATAATTGAGTCCAACCTTCACAACTCGGACATGAAGAAACTGAGATTCAGACAGTTTGATGACTTGTTCAAGGTCACACAGGTAGTAAGTAGCAGAAAAGAGTAAGAACCTAGGTCTTCTGACTCCAAAGGCAATTCTCTTTCTACTACAGAAAACTGCCTCATTTGTATCATCTAATTATACACAGGAATCTATACATGCATGGTGTCTCAAAAGTCTTAGTGCAGTTTTCAGCTTCCCAAAGGCTGGTCTGACCATGTTGTGCTAGTAGCCACAGGCAAACAGATGGACACACACACACACATACACACACACACACACATTCCCCTACTCAGTAAACTCCAGTGGCTCCCTATCACCTCCAGGATCAAATATAAAATCCTCTAATTGGCCTTCAAAACCCTTCATAACCTTCTCTTCCCCCTCCACCCCCCACTTTTCCAGTACACCTTACTTTCTTTTCTCCCCAATAGTACTCTGAGGTCCAGTGACACTGGCTTGCTTGCTGTTCTTCAGAAACACTCCATCTCTTAGGTATTTTCTCAGTCTAACTCCTGACTTTGCTGGGTTTCTTCAAAACCCAGCTAAAATCTTACATTCTACAGGAAGTCTTTCCCCATTCCTCTTAACTCAAGAGTCTTCCCCCTGTTAATTATTTCCAATTTATCCTGTATATGGCTTGTTATTGTATATTCTCATTTGCACTTTGTCTCCCCCATTAGATTGTGAGCTCCTCAAGGGCATTGACTATCTTTTGCCTTTCTTTGTATACCCAAGGCTTAGCCTGGGGTGCCTGGCACATAGTAGGTGCTTACTAAGACTTTTGGCACACTTTGTGTATGTGAACTCTGGTAGATTTCCATTTTATTTGAATTATATATGACATTCTATTCTATTATCATAATATGCATATCCACCCACCCTCCACTAAAATTCTCCATTGCTTCCTGTGACCCACAAGTTTTCAGGTAGGTTGAGTGACTTGTCCATAGTCATACTGCAAGCAAGTGTCAGAGGCAAGAGTCCAACAAAACATTTATCTTTTTTTCTTTTTCTTCCCCTTCCTTAATAGAATTTTATTTTTTCCAATTACATGTAAAAGTAGTTTTCAGCATTCACTTTTACAAGATTCTGAGTTCCAAATTTTTTTCTCTCTCTCTCTCCTCCCCTCTCCCCAAGACGACAAGCAATCTAATATAGGCTATACATGTACAATCATATTAAACATTTCCACATTAGCCACGTTGTGAAAGAAGAATCAGAACAAAAAGGAAAAACCATGAGAGAGAAAAAAGAGAGAAAATAGTATACTTCAATCTGCATTCAGACTCCATAGTTCTTTCTCTGGATGTGGATAATAAGTTTCAAGGAGGACGAGGAAGCAGAGTGATCAAAGAGAATGCCAGCAGAAGAAAGGACATTGCATGGGGAAGTAGAGGAAACATCCACCTAATAGCCAGGAGACCAAGATATATATAGTTCCAGGACTATTATTAGTTAGCTGTGTGATCTTGTGCAAGTCGGTAAGTCATTTCCTTTCTTTGGGGCCCCATTTGTACTAGATGACCTCTAAAGTACCTTAGAGCCCTTTGAATCTACGAAATCTTTGGCGACTCGGAGAGAGCAATTTGAACAGAGTGGTACAGGTTGTTGTTTGTCCTTCCTTCTCAAAGAGGACCAATGGCATCAGGTAGGTGATGTCTTGACTTCCAAGTGAATTGGATTTAGGTGAGGTGGGGCTGATGGAAGCCAGGTTGTAGGGACCTGAGAAGAAGGAAGTGTGTGAAGAGGCAATAGAGGCAGTAGGTACAAAACACTCATTTCTGGAGTTTGGCTGGAAATATAACAGATATATCATGGAGATAAAAAGCAGCAGAGGGCAGTGGGGATCAGAGAAAGATTCCCTTAAGATAGGGGTATCAGCACATGTTTGTAGGCACAAGGGAAGGAGAAAATAGAGGGAAACATTGAAGTCACTGGAAAGGAAAGAGAGAATTGTGGAAGATCTCTCAGGAGTCAGAAAGGGATGAAATTAGGGCATAGGTAGAAGTGTGAACCTTCAAAAGAATGAGGGCCACCTCTTTTTTGAGCCAAGAGGAAAGGACAGGATATCACAAGGTATAGTGGAAAGGTAGGGTGCCAGACTTGAAGTCAGGAAACCTGATTTTGAATTCTGAGACTGATCAATATCAGTCAATACACATTAAGATCTACTATGTGCCAGGAACCATGACTATGCTCTAGGGATAGAAAAAGAGGCAAAAGGCATCCCTTGCCCTGAAGGAGCTCATAATCTACTGTATACTGAAACTTGACTGGCCATGTGACTGTGGGTGAGTCACTTACCCCTCAGAGTTTAGGTTTCCTACTCTATAAAATGGGATTATAAGAGCTGTATTTTCCACTTCCCAGAGCTCTTGTGAGAAAGTTATAGTTCAAACCTTAAAGTGCTAGGGAAATCCAGAATTTCTGATAACTATAAAAACTGAGAAGGGAGGGAACTGAGTTAGGAAGGAAATGTCCCTTACTGAATGACTGATGAAGGAAATTATGGCTTTTGGTGAAAATGAGAAGTCAAGGAAGATGGTAAGTTTGGAGGCTAGAGAAGAAAGGAAAATATTCTTCTGCCTCAGTGCTCTTGTATAAGTGGGCTCTCCTCCCTGGAATGCCCTCCCTCTCCTTACCCTTCCTGGGTAGAATCCTTAGCTTCCATCAAAGCATAACTGAGGCTCTACTTCCTACTCAAGTCCTTTCCTTATCTTCTCAGTTGTTAAAGCTCAGTCCCTCTTGGAATTATTTTGATTTACTTTGTATTTACTTATTTTTGTAGGTGGTGTATTCACCCTTCTTAGAGTGTGAGCTCCTTGAGGGCAAAGTTTCCTTTTTTTTGTCTTTGTAATCCCAGTATCTCTCACAATGCTTTTCACCCTTAATCAGTATTTGTTGAAATGAATTGAATTGAATGTCTGAAATAGCAATAATGGGCTAACATAGAATCATGAGATCCATCATTTTACAAAGGAGGAAAGTTAGACCCAAAGCAGTGATTTATTTGTACAAGGGCAAATGGTTAATAAGTAATAGAATCTGAGGACCAACCAGCAATGATTGGGCCAGAATTTTACCTTTTGCCAGGTGATTCCCACACAGTGACTGCCTCATGGCAGAATAATATAATCAGCATTTAGATTACCCTAAATAATAGTGTGTTAATTATCTTTGCTTTGCTCTCCAGGCAATCCATCTGCTATTACTAATAACCGCAGAAGTAGCAGCAATCAGTGACAATAACAACAATAATAAACAACAATGACTGAGTAACCACCAGGTGTGAGACCAGGCCCACTGAAAAAAACCAGCTAAAGGAAGGGACTGACAAAGTACCGAACTTAGACCATCGATAGACAGATGAGTCCTCCTTCCCAATGAATTC